TCAAACCTGCCACGTCTACTTTGAGCTCCTCCTGCACCACAAATCAAACACATGAATGAGCCGTGAGCACAATTCACATGAATGAGCCGTGAGCACAATTCACAACGGCAGGCAAGCCAGCAAGGCGTACCCTGAAGGCCTGCACTTCCATCTTCAGCTCCTCCTGCACCACGAAGCAGGCACATGAATGAGCCGTGCACACAAATCACAACGGCAGGCAGCAGCCAGGGCTTACGTTGCCCCTGGCGACGTTGGCGAGGCTGGCCTCCACCTTCTGGAGGCCCTCCTGCACCACCCAAGCAGGTACATGAATGGGCACGTGCGCGCAATTCATTCAAGCAGGCACATGAATGAAAGGTCAGGCAGCCGCGCAGGGCGTACCTCGAGGGTTTTGCCCTCCGTCTTCAGCTCCACCAGGTCCACCTTCAGCTCCCTCGGCACCACAAAGCAGGCACATGAATGAGCGCGTGCGCACAATTCACAACGGCAGGCAAGCCAGCAAAGGCGTACCCTGAATGCCTGGAACTCCAGCTTCTGGTCCGCCTGCACCACAAAGCAGGCACATGAATGAGTCGTGAGCACAAATCACGACGGCAGGCAAGCCAGCAAGGCGTACCCTGAAGGCCTGGAACTCCAGCTTCTGGTCCGCCTGCACCACAAAGCAGGCACATGAATGAGCCGTGCGCACAATTCACAACGGCAGGCAAGCCAGCAAAGGCGTACCCTGAATGCCTGGAACTCCAGCTTCTGGTCCGCCTGCACCACAAAGCGGGCACATGAATGAGCTGTGAGCACAAATCACGACGGCAGGCAAGCCAGCAAGGCGTACTCTGAAGGCCTGGAAATCCAGCCTCTGGTCCGTCAAGTCCTTGTCCACCTTCTCCAGCTTGTCCAATATTCTGTTCGACACGTCCTGCACGTGCAAGGGTGCAATCAACTCGTCAACCTTGTCAGTGGTCTGCGGAAGCTGGCCCAAAAAGCAGCAGACGGCGGCAGGCCTGATCGGGGTGCAGACACGGCAAAGGTCCCCATCGCCTGCAGTTCCAAGGGTGTGCTGACCTCTCTGACGTTCTGCTGCGGGGTAGCAGGCCGCGCAGGGCTAGCGCCGCCACTGCCACCCCCAGCCACCGCCGCGCGGCACGGGCGGAGGCCACCCGCCTT